TTCTCATAATATGTTCTTGTTGGGTTGGCTTGCCGTACTTAATACATTGTATGCTATTATTAGATCACCTCTTATTCTCCTACAGCTCAACGACAATAATCTCAGGTGTTGGAGTTTATCCTCGTAAGCTTTGTGTTTTAGCCAAATTATCCACCTGATTGTTCGTCTCTGTACTTGATCTAAGAGATTTATATCTCCTTTAGAGAGAGGGGAAGAAATTAGTCCGTCCAGGAGTTATAATAGCCTATTTGGGCTTGACATAATACCAGCCACTACATCATGGACTCCAAGTTAGGGCCCTGCGTGCGTTTTAGGGTTGGTTGGATACTCCATAGCGTCAATGGACTACAAATTCTTCCAGAGTTTCCACTCTACGTGAGTAAGTGAAAACGTATACTCATAAAAAACGTAAGTTTATAAGTGGAGTCCTCTTTGATGTGTTTAGGACATGCTTCTATAATTCACTGGCTCGTGGACTGGTCTGGTGGAACGGGGGTTGGAACTTCATTTCTATTTGGAGGGGGTGTGTTTTACCGGACTTGTTTCGACATTTCACAGCGTTTAGCAGTCCATTTAGAAAATGCTGCAGGCCACGCATACAATCCAGGTCACTCCGCTTTAGAGATATCTCTGGTTGCGAAAGATCTATGAGTCTTGGTAGCTTATGATTTAAGGTCTTACGCTAACTGCGACAAAAATGCTTTTTGAGAAAGCCTTCCACGAGCATTTTCGAAGAGTACTTTTAGCCAGTTTAGCGACGGAATATCTTATTCAATTTAGAAGTTTCACTCATTACCTCTTAGAGTATAGAAACACAGTGTTTCTCCCAAAAGGGTAAGAATATATTGGAATATATCTAAAGATGAGTCATGAAATCAGCTTGGGGATTCAAATTTAAAACATATAGGGAGTAGTATAGGTGTCTCAGAAGTGACCTTATAATGACTTATAGTATCCTAACTACTCCTGAGGACCGTCTTAAATACCCAGTCAAGTTCAGTCCGTACACAAACCCCAGGAGTAACACTCAGTCTTCTGTCTTCAGTCTTCAGTAATAAGGATAGGTGGTCTACTGACCTATATTAATCCTTGCAGTTTGTAATACTGTAAAGGTCCAATCTCGTTCTGAATATATCAACAAAAGGTACTGGTATTACGTGTTCCGGTAGAAAATTCCAGTAATTTACTACTCGATGCGAGAAACGAGACTCCAGACGTAAACGATTTGATTTCGGTTTTTGAACTTTCTTCGAATGTCCTCTCACATGATCAGTCCTAGAGCGAAGTAAAAGATAATATCTGTTAATACCAAGGTCATCGTTAAGTATACGATAAGCCAATATTAGATCACTCGGTATTCTACGGTAGGATAACGGAAATAAGTTAAGGTGTCTCAGTCTGTCTTCATAAGATAGGCCAGATAGACCTTTTACCACCTTACTACCTCGTCGTTGGACTCTTTCCAGCATATCTGCCTCATACTTGAAACAAGGACTCGCTGCTTGAATACCATATTCTAAATGTGATCGCACGTAAATCGGGTATAATAATTCAAACATTTCATTATCTAAATACTGGAAAGACCTACGAATAGACCATAACACCCTATAGTCTTTCGCAGCAGCAGCCTTACAGTGACTAGTGGTTTTAAGATCACTGCTTAATATGCCTCCTAAATCTTTATAGTTTCTTAATTTGGGTAGCAAGAATCCACATATTGTGTAGTGATACGAATCACCATAGTTATTTAATTGCATCACCACACTCTTATTAGGGTTTACCTCTAGTAACCACCTGTCCAACCATGCCACCAATCAGCTGAGATCATTCTGTAATACTATTCTATCCGACACACTGTGTATGGATCGCCAAATTTTTATGTCATCAGCGAAGAGTAGAACTGATGTTTTGCTACAGTTGTTAATTCATTTACATAAAGTAGAGAGAGAAGAGGACCGAATATTGCGTCGGAGAACTCCACTTTTTAAAGGTATCCACGAGGAAAGAGCTTCATTAACCCTTACCCCATGTCTCCTCTCATGGATAAAGTTACTGATCCAATCTACGACTGTCTAATGGATTTCGAAACGTTCCAGTTTGAATTTAAGAGCAGAATGGGAGACCTTATCGGAGGCCTTACTTAGATTTATGAAGATCACATCTACAGGAACATTCCGATCTTTTGCCCCAGCCCAATCTTTTATTGCAATGAGATTTTTCAAGCATGATAAGCCTTTCCGAAAACCATGCTCTTCAACATAGTTTATAACAGATATCCGAATGATTTTTTCCATCGGTTTTACAAACACACTAGTTAAGCTAACGGGTCTATAGTTACTAATTAAATCCCTACTCTAACCCTTATACACTGGACGTATTATTGCGTCTTTCCAGTCTCTGGGCAGTCTGGACTGTCTCAGGGACATGTCAAACAGTATCGCTAATGGTTCAGCAATTACATCTGATATGGATTTCATAATCTTAGGATGAATATTATCAGGACTTATCAGGTTTGAGATGCTGAAGTAGTCTTAAGGCAGTATCTTTCACAATAACTATAGGGTCCATCAGTGAGCCGCCACAATCACATTGAATCGTTGGTCGTTCTTCATTACTGATATAAAACACTTCACTGAAATATTCCGATAAAACGTCAACTTTTTTTGGTACCATTTCTTGCCAAGATTAACGGACAATCTTATATCGAAAGTGATGGAATTCCATCGTTTTTCTGAATTCACCTTTTTAAATACGAGAATAACCGTTTCGGACTATTTCTAGAATCCCTAACCAATTGTTTTACATATGATCTTCTAGTTTTACTTATTAACGCTTTACAGGGATTCCTAATCTTACAATATCTGGACCTGTATTGTTCTAAGACAGTAGGGATGGACGTATTCCAGTGCTTCTTCCTTCTTCTAAGAAGTTTCCTGACTGGTTTGGTAATCCATGGTGGACTATTATTCGGTCTTCGCGGTACCAGGTATGGTATGAACGAGGACGTAACTAAACTAAACTCACCTTTAAATACAGACAATGCTTCTTCAAATGATAAGCTAGTGTCTACGAACCAATCTGTCTTGGTGGAGCATTTGTGAATGACTGATATGTTAGCTTTCCATATATTTGGGCGGGGTGTAACCTGACCGTATAACATGACCCTAGTTCTAAACATGAATGACAAAACAGCGTGATCTCTGTTCACTAACGGTGGAAGAATATTTAAGTCGTCAGTATCCTCAGTCTCATAACTGACTACCAAGTCCAACAGAGTAGAACCTTGGTTAGCACCGAAACGTGTGGGTTTGGATACATGATGCACTAATGCATGCTCCATTATTGTTATCAGGAAACTGCTATCAAAGGTTTTTATAGTTCCTTCTGTGGTCACCTCAGTCCAACTAATATCAGGTGCATTAAAGTTTCTTATTATCAAGCATCTGTTATTTGCGCTTCATAGTTGAATGTGCTCTAAAATAAAGTCATCAGCTAAGCAGATTGGACTGCGGCAGATGACGCTGAGCATAAATGTACCACATCCGATAGCCAATTCACAGCTAATGACTTCACAATTACCGCTAGTATGGGATTCCCTAGCAGAGAATTTGATATTTATATTATTGGCCATATATAAAAGGCACCACCTCCTTTTCTACATCGGTGTCTGTCACTCCTTAGGTATTGGTATCCGGATAATTCTGTAGTAATGTCTAAGTCATGGACTAACCAAGTTTCTGTCACTGCCCAATGAGTGGCCTTAATTTGTCCACTAATGCTTCTAGTTCATAGAGCTAATTTCTTAGACTACGAGCATTAGCATATAAAACTCCTAGGTAGAACGTTCTATCCACACAGGCCTTGGGAGCGTTTGCTTCAAAGACCTGACTATCCGAAAACCCACTAACTTGAAATTTTCCTCACCGTTTTGTCGACGGGTTTCTAGTTTAGCTAGTGCTTTCTTCCTTTTTATTACATCTTCAGGAGGCATATCAGATCTAACTCGGATGTCGGAATTGTCATGACTACGAGCGCTACTTAACAGTAGATCACAGTGCTTCTCGGATCCTGGGATTATCTTAAGGAGTCTGCATGGTCGGGGTTCAACGGTGTCCTCGGTTCTCTTACCTATTCTGACCAGCTTTTTGACCTGAACTCCTTTAGAGTTATATAATAAGATACAACGAATATATGTTCTCCCAGCTTCTCTAAGTCATGCGCGTGTCTAATTTTGGGGTCAGGGTCGTTTGACTCCAGCAACTTGGTCACAATAATATTCGATGAGATTAGATTCTCCTTCTCAGGCTACTAGATACTAAAGGCCGTTAAACGAAAGGTTCTTCTATTCTATCCAGAACAACTTGAACCGTTTGAAAAGTTACATTCAGATTCAGCTACATTCACATAAAAAATTTTTTCCATCAAAGGCTATCCTTGTTACGAAAAATTGGTGCTGTAAGCCCTACGTTTAATACAATCCTTACTAAAATTAGACAGTATGATGCAGTTTCATCCCGAATAAATTTAAAGGTGTACGTCGGTAATGTTAGTTAGTTAATATAGACGACCAGTTTTTACTATCAATTGAGCTAGTATGTTATGAAAACTAATCAATATAACATTACGATTATACATGTAACCATTAGTCCTTGGTTGCATTGTTAGCAATGTATATTTACGTTATTTACAGCTCATGTTTGCTAGAGCTTGATGTTTAAACAAGTCTATGTCGCTGAAGCATGTAAATGCTAATAAAGCTCGTTAACGAACCATCAAAGCTAATTAGTTGTACGTGAATGTCAAGTATTTTCAAGTTAATATGCACAAGATAGAAAAAAAATTAAAAATATGATTAATCATTGGAGAGTTTGAGCACAGCAATCTACACACTACGAATTGTAACACATTGTAAAAACTCTGCGCGATAACAAGTACGACAACTGATTTTAAGTGTTGGCTAAACGATTTAAACAAAACAATTAGAACAATAAAAAGCGTCATTTTTGGTGACACTTTTAAAAAAGCATCTGAAACGAGGGCGAACAGGTTTGGAGATGCTTTGTGGTGTATGATAGAATTGTGGGAGATACAAAATGTCAGGTGGTCCTACTGTCCTCCTCTCTGATGGGAAATGTAAAGAGCGATGTAATAGGTGATTCCTGCTTGACATTATTTTTTATAAATAACATAAGTGCAAATGTAACCACAATTTTTCTATTGTAGTGAACGAAATGGCGGAAGCTATGATCCTGTGAGGTGGAGTGAATATTTTAACATACGGGATGATATAGAACTCGAAGGGGGTGTAAGTATATGCATTATAATTTTCGTCCTTCTAGACATTTAGAATCTATCGTCGAGGTGTCGAAGGGCCTCTTCTCTTCTTCTTACATGGTGGTGGTTTCTCAGCTTTAACATGGGCGGTCCTAAGTGTATGTATTCTTGCTACTACGTTACTTGCTTAGACTCTTATTACTGATCAAGTTAAGTGTCAATGTTTGGCAGTAGATATGAGGGGCCACGGTGATACAAAGTGCCTCAATGATGATGACCTATCTATCGACACTCTCTCAAAGTACGCTCGTTTCTAGAATTATATTTTATTTAAGGGATATAATAAAAATAATATTTGCTATGTATCCAATGGAGGCTCCGCCAATTATCCTTGTGGGCCACAGGTGAGCGACTCAAAAATGTGTTGATGCTTGAGATTTGCAAATTTCTTTGATTTTGCGGATTAGTTTTTGTCACTATATATTAGCCTTACCTGTTGTAGCTGTTGTTGCTGTTTGTTAACACATTTTTTATATAACTGAAGATTATAACCATGTGCCCTTAGTCACTTATGAGTTGTGTGCACCATTTTTAGAGGCTAAAGATTTGTTGCCAACGTTATGTATTGTTATCGCTAGTAATCCAGTTTATTTATGGGGTATGGTAGTATATATGTGCTGTGCACCATATTTAGCACATTCTCAAGGTATTCCGGTAAATTTCCTTAGACATAATTTACAATGTTTATGAATACAGTGCTGACCAATCACTACTGATTCCATGTAAACTTTGTTATTTAAGGATGAACCGTATTGTTTTGTTCTCTTCCACCTAATGTTTAATATTTTTAAGCTATCCTTAGATAAAAGACTAGTGCATGTTCATTCACATAATACTTAGTAGCTTTTGTTTAGAAGTGCGATTTTTAATTATGGCCATTTGTGCTATGTCAGCCATAAAATTCTTTATACTACCTGCTTCCAGTTTTACTGTTTATTTAGCAGGCCATTTAAATCTAAATCAATTAAAAAATTTCCCCATAATAACTGGTCTACACCACTTCCAACAATAAGGGCGTTTTAATCGTGGTCTGTACCACGTATGTCTGTTAGTTTAGCTATTGAATAATTTTTATGTAAAATTACGGGAAAAGATTTATGTTGCTTTCGGTTCTTTTCATGCCAAACCCGTCTTCCGTATGGTTTTTAATATCCCTGAGCTGCTGTAATCATGCCATTCTAGAAATCATTCAACCGGTATAAGGTGGAAAATTAGTTGTACTTATAGGGTTTTAACATCAACTAATAAGCTTGATAAAATGTTTGTGGGCTATTAATTTATAATATTGTGGTTGCCAGTAAGGAACGTGACGGCGTAGATTTTTGGTATTTTGTTTAGCGATGTAGAGGGTACTTTTTTTTGTTCAAAACAATGGCTTATGGTCCTGGTGTTGGATAGTATTTTAATATTTGGGAATAATTTGTTTGTATTTTAGTGCATTCCGTTCATGTCATCTGTGTAACCTCATGTAGTTGGGAGTTTTTCAGGCTTTTTACACTTTGGTTCATCGTCTTAATCCTACTTGCTCCTCGTATTTTATCTTTAGGCTGTATTTTGAGTGGTCACTCCAGTTTCTGTGACGTAAATAACAATATAAAACAATGCAACTGTCCTCATGTGTTTATAGAACCAAGGAAGTTGCGAACAATATTAGCTAAAGTAGTATGGGTTCATCTTGTATCTAAGTGGAATAGACTGCTGAAACTTAGCTTAACTTTCATTTGATTAATAATAGAGAATTTCTTAATTTATAGATGTTATAGTCTTTTGCAGTCTGAAGGGGAGTATCCCACTCCATCGACATGTGTGAGTGTTTTTTACTTAAGTCTGCAACAAAAATTATGTGACCAACTGTTTAGGTGTAAGTAGAGACTTCAAGTAGCGTAATACGTTAATTCAGTATTCCCTTCAGTATATGGGACTCGTCAGGTTTTCTGGCTTTCAAGTTTGTTGAAGTTTAGAAATATAGTGTATATTGTACATCTCATTAACGTAATGTGAAGGGATACGATATTTTTTTTCATGCCCCAGTGTTTTGTCTTTAGAAACCTGTCGGATCACACTCGGGTTAATCTTTCTCATTCAGTTACTCACATTAAAGTAATTCTACATTTCTTTACGGAAGCAATGCTCAGTAATTTATAATATAGTCTCCGTGACGTGTAGTTGTAACTCAGAATTCCGTTTTCTGAATCGGTTCTTTGTTTACAGTACAACAGATTTGTATGTTACATTGAACTTTATTGCCTACAAGCACGTTGGTGCTTTGTTGCAAACATTTTCAGCGTTAATCACTTTTAATTTGTTTTTTATGATTTGCTCAGTACATGTAGTTGTAAAAATACTGGTAAAGTATTATAAGTCCTTGTAATATATATCACCTCAGCGTGTAAGGGTTAGGATTGCTCTTAGTTTCACCCTATCAGTCTTTAGATATTCACAAATCACTCTTGTTTTTGACTAAATAATTAACTCATTCATCAGGTAGGGGCTAAGGATGCTACAAAATTACACAAACAGTAGTAAGTGGAGCTGTGTTTGGACCAGAGACTTAGTGGCCAAAATTCGAACGTCTGAATCATTAAGCCACATCTTCTGGTCATCAAACACTGGAGATTTTCTGGTGGATCTGTCTTACATAGATCGTTTCCCAAACAGTTATAAAATGGTCGATGTATTCAAACTCCGTTTTTTAATTTTGAGTTTTGTTACCTATTTGACCAAGTTTTATTGTTTACTGCATGGTAGTCGAAGCAGACATCAATATTTCTACAAAAGTAAATAGCTTTTGATGTACATAGCTCACGGTCGGTATATATTTTTCAGATCTTCGGTGGTATTAGTTACTAAGCTGAAAAAATCAGATTGCTTTTTCTTATTTTAGTATGGGTGGAGCTGTAGCAGTACATGTGGCATGCAAGCGAACTATCCCTTCTTTGGCTGGTCTTGTTGTTATTGATGTGGTTGAAGGTAATAGAAATTTTCCATTTATATACAGTTATTGTACAATTATTTCTTTACTTTTACTTTGAGTCTGATTGACTAAACATGTGGGACTGTTTAATCACGAATGTAACACATATTTTCAAACAACTCTTCTCGCCTACAAGGACTGTATTATATAGGTTTTATAAGTTAGGAGTCAACTCTTAAGAACTCAATGCCATGTTGACATCCATGCCTTGACCCCGAGGCAGGATTAGGATGCCTAATGCTGGGTAAATCCAACTGAACTAATCAGGAAGTTAGTTAAGCTTAAGATAACTATATTTTGTTAATAAACAATAGTTTTTAAAGCTCGTGTCCATTTATAAACCTTTAAAATCACTAAATTATGTGTGCTCTTACTACATGACAGAAATATGTAGCTAACAACAAAGTCTAATTTGTTGTTTAAAAATGACTTGATCTCATCAACAATTCTAGCATATCTAAACTCGATGATATTATTATTCGCCTTAGTGTTATTTACATAATTAGGTTTAACAAGCGAAACAAGTTGTAAAAGGATAATTGGGGAGAGAGGTAGTCGAAATATCGTCTTCAGGTCAAAAACCATAATTATTATGGAGTACTAGCAAGTGTGCGTACATTCAAATTCTGGTGCAAGGGATAGATAAATGGTACTTGTACCACCATTTATTTAGCGCAAGTAGTTCTCTGTTGCTGCGCTTCAATTATTTGCTGTATTGTTATCAATCTTAAGAATTTCGAAACTGTCGGTTGACCTGATTTCTTTTTGGTTATATACCACGTAACAGTAAACATAGCATTCACCTTAATGTATTTAACATCAGTTTTACAACTAATGCATACGAGTCACATGTATCCTTAGTACATATATTGGTTTTGATCATGAGAATCAATTTCTTAAAATGTTTTTAGGATCTGCTTTGAGCTCATTACGTGGCATGACAGCTTTCTTACGTGGTCGTCCTCAAAGTTTTCTTTCTTTACCTCAAGCAATTGAGTGGAGGTTAGTTGAACATTGTTTTAGGAAAGAACACTGGTGGTAAAGTTCTACAAAATAGTGTTCATAATATACTTATATTTATTTATGTTTTTATTTTTATAATTTGTAAAGGTGATACATTTTTGCTTTAAAAAGGATTTTTCTTCATAGCATAAAGTACATCTCCATGTAAGGGCGTACTTTTAAGCTTTAAATATCCGATTGATTGCATACACCATCAGTTGGTATATTCATGTGATCAAGTGACATAAACGTGTACTTCTAATCGTTTTTTTTTAAGTTCCTGCTCTTTACTGTTGCAAAATTGCTTTGATAATGAGGTGATTGATTGAGTTCCACATTCACAAGTTTTCAACAAACGTTCAGCTGAAGTAGTAATGTTATTGTGAACTTAGAAATTAGATTTTTGTAGCTCGAAAGCTAGATGTTCACATTGAACTGTTGTTGAAATTTTAGTCTCTAGTTAATTACTTATTCATTATTAAGTAACATATTTCGCAATTATGTCATCTGCACAGTTTTCCACCCCTTAATAGTGACTTTCTAAATGGAGTTCATTATTATTATTATTTTTATTTTAACACATAGATATTGGTACAAGGAGGCACCAAATACATATGCGCCACACAAATCTCATTCGACATGTGTGAGGGCTGTGGTACTACCCGGGTACCCAAACCGAAGCAGGTGGTTTTCTTAGGGGGCCACTCCCCGAGCCTTCGACCTGGAGGTCTGATCCACAAGGCAGTGGAGCATCGTGAGGAGATTCAGTCCCATGGAAGCCGGTGACCAACAATTGGTTCATACGCCACTTGTTCCTGCAGGATACTGGAGCCCATGTGCACCATTGGTTTGGGATCCGGTTAAAGCGCCGGACATTCGCTTTTCGTCCTCTAATTTTCGTAAACAACACCCCCGCCACGAGAAGGCAGTGAGTAGGACTTCCCTGGCAGAGGCTGTATACGCGCGGTCGTGTGAGAGTATTTCGAGAGGGAGAGCGGACTCTCCCCACTCTCGGCCGTACCAGGGCATTTGGGGGCCAGTGTTAAATATAATCTTTTCTTTGTTTACTACTTTTTGTTGATATATTTTAAGTTACTTCAGCCTTTTATTTGTGGTGATTTCTGATATACTGTTCGGTAGCTATTATTATTGGTGAGAGTATAAACAATTTTCGCTCAGATATATTATTTTAATTCAGTATGATAATCACTTTATATGGGGATTTACGTACATCAGATTAAGGATCTAGAACTTTTAATATTTTTGCAAATGTTGTTGTAAATTATTTACTCCTTTGCCTTAGTTAGTAAATTGTAACGATAATATAAATTCATTTGAAACACGTATTGAACGTATATTATTTTGCTAAGAGATACAACACTATTATTGCTTATGTTTAGCATTCGTTGTTTTTAGAACAATTGAGTCAACCTTATATCAAAATTTCAATAAAGCACATAATCTACTTTCACACTATATCAATTATATGCGGTGTTAAATTGTATAAAATCAAATTCTATATTGACGTTATTACATTTTGTTCATAACCTTTGTTTTCATGAATTTCAAGGGAGTTATTTTAAATGAGTTAGTAATATTCTTGATTTTAATCATATTGCATATACATGTTGACTCCTGTTCAGTATTTGAACATTTATTCTTACTGCTTGCCATCGCCACTACAGGAAAGGTTATATCTGTTTGTTGCGAATAAAAGTCGGTAAAAGTATAGTACAAAAATAAGCTAATCAGGATCGAGAATTCCGCGAGCAGTGGAAATACATTTCTAGTGATAGCCAAAAATAGGTTTTTGTCACCACAGGGTAAAAATGATGGCGTTGAGTGAATTAAAAATTCAGTTCTTTCTCTGTAAATTGTATGCAACACACAAATCGACACTGTCTCTAAATTCTAACCTTAAACATCCAATACAGAAATAAGTCTTGAACTGGTGACACTACATTTCATGGACAAACTAGTCAGACAGTACCTTCTCTTATATTTTTGCATGAAATTCATTCACCCATATAACTATAGAACACTTTCGTGTTATGCCTGATGTCAGTTTGTGTTGAAAAACCTAACCCTAAATACTTAATCCTAACCAGGGACGATGTGTAGACTCTTAACAATCTGTTTGGATCTCTATAAGTGTTCGAGAACAAGTATAATCTACATTCGTATGAACGAGCTTTTATGTATTAGTTTTCTTTCGATTTACAGAAAGAGTAACGTACCTGTGTTAGATGTTAATAAATTCAAAAATTATATCAAATCTGTTTGCGCTTAGTTATATTATTGTTTTCTTCTCCACAAACTATCTATTTACAAAACAATTTTCTGAATGGTTGAGAACTGACTGGAAACTCATCACAGTTATTTTAAATTCGTCTATGTTATTTTCTCTTTTCCAAAGATCTATTTTCTGGAATAATTATAATTTTCTTTTAAATTTCGTTCATAAGTTTTAATTAACCTTCGGAGACCTTCTTTGCTACAGACTAACCTTTAACACAGTTTTCGTAAAATTTATTTTTGTCTACAATATAAATGACTGATTGAAATGTGATATAGCAGTGCTCTTCTACCGGTTGTTACACTAATATAAGAAAGCAAAATTTAACTAACTCCAGGAATAAAATATTTCAAAGAAAGTATAAGCTGAACAAATATTATCGGCTAGAATTTTTTACGTACAGTTAAATTGGAATCGAAAGTGTTTTTATTCATACCATATGGAGAGATTTCCGTCTAATATACTTGTATTGTTCGGTCACTTGTCAATGCTATAAGACTTGCTGGTCTGCATATGATTCGTTGTTATGTCTCAACTTGATCACTATGTTCTCCAAAATAAATCAAGTCGAGGCGGATGATATCAACTAACTATGTGCTTCTCCAATTATCACCGAAAGTGTTTATTCGGTGTTTATACAGTCTTATCACTGTACAGTTTTAAAATATGATAATTGAAGTTACGTGTTCATTAATACGGTATTTCAACCAATTGTTTTTTTTCGGTGCCATATCTTCAAATTCTTGCTGAGTTTTGTTTAATCTCATCTTGTTAAGTTAGTTGTCGTGGTAAAGTAAACCTCCAGGTGCTTATGTCATCGATTGGATAATCTCCACCAGTATAAAGCTGCTGACATTAATTATGTAATTATTTTTCATTTATTTTCAAGCGTTCGCAGTTCGCAAATACGTAATGTAAATTCAGCTCGTGTGTCTTTCCCTGGTCAGTTAAAGCGTATCACAAGTGGTCAGACTGCAACAAGCGAACTAGATTCAGGGATCGCAGTTCTTTCTAAAACTGTTCCGCCTATTCCTTCTGTAACTTCAACGCTAGATGGTAGAGTCTCTTCTGTAAGTCGATTATCAAGTCAGCCATTGGTTGAAGATTCAGAAGTAGATAACTCTAGAAGTTCAGAAATCAATTCTGAAAATAATTTAGAAGTTGATCAAAATTCAACAAGTGTGAGTTATATTTATTTCTTATTTTTATGTACGTCACCATTTCATTTATCGAGTTATATAACTAGAAATGTTTTCGTTCCTAATAGATATTTATTGGTAAAGTATACGTTCAATCGTCTTTTGTATTTTCAGTGAGAATAAATTTGGTGCTATTGTGGTTGTGGGCGTGTTGAGTTGACTTCGGTTGTCGTTTTTTGCTCATTGTGTATAGCTCTCTTATTGGTAATTAATTTTTTCGTTTTCATCTTAAATGCTTCCGTTCTTTTACTCATCAACTGGTTGATTTTAGTTGGTAAAAAACGTTGTCCAGTAATTTATGTGTATTTCCCCCTTTTGATAATTCACATTCATCCCTGGCCAAAGTTGTACAAAATTGTATTCTGTTTTGTTGCTTATTTTGTTAATTACAAACTTATTTTGTATCAGTCAGTCATCGACGTCGTGTGCGACTTGACATGAATATGTATCAGTTCACGCCGTTACATTCCACGTTTACACAGTGATTGGATGATGAAATAAATAAAATAAGGGTGGGAAAATAATTAGGAATGCAATAAAAAGTATAACGTATAAAAAGAATCGAATGTGTTCGAAGAATGAAAAGTACGAAATCTTACATTGAATTTCGTACCCTGAAGAAGATAAGTGATCAGTATAACTGTATTAATATTGACAGAATTCTCGTCACTTACCTTGATTCTGGGGTTTTCATGTGAATATCGACGTCATTAATCACTCGCTTTTGTTTGTTACTCGCACATTGAGGTGAGGATTATCGAAATCATGTTTGAAGTTACGTCTTCGGTCAAAATAAACACTTACTTCCTGATTTGATATTTCGTAGGGCTAGAATAAGAAATTTCGAATTAGACCTCTGTTTCCGAATACTGTTTTACTATAGAAACGGGGGTTCTATTGAGGTTTGTGACTGGTATGAAGATATTATAAAGGGAACTGTTTCTGTCACCAGTCATTTTTATGACTTACGATTGTTGTATTTTCTACTGCCTAATATTTTTTTGGACACGTTACTTCACTCGACCAGTAGCGAATCAAAACATAGGTTCGTAGCGAACGAAGGTATACCTCAGAAATTCGGATCTCAAAAAATAATGTAGTACGAACATTAGCATTTATGTAGAATTAACACTGGAATTTATTGTTTTGTCAATGCACTCGCTAGAGCTGATTGATTGAAAATGTGCCGATCAACGTGCCCCTACCTGATATCGACGCAAGCATTCACTAATCAAAGGAACTATCCTCCTAACAGGGTTGTGTCAACAAGAACAAATGATGTCAGCATTTTGATAGAGATTTCAATGGTTAAAATTAAGTTGATACATAAGATGGAGTTTTCCTTATAATTATCAGGAGCATCTGGCCCTTGTTGTACAGATTATATACAAGATAAGAAAAAATAGTACATCTTGAGAAACTGTTGGCTTCTATTCGTTGTCAATGGAAAATTTGTGTTGAAATTCCGAGTTTCTTTGTCATCATTTGTGTTGGAAGAGTTCATTCGTTGTTGAATATAACGAGTTCGATAATTGGTTAAAACTTATTTCATTGCTACTCACATCTTTCTAACAGCTGCAATTGATTGTCTCGTCAATAGATACTATAGGGAACAAATAATCCGTGGTTTTCCTGTTTAGAAGCCTTCAGTGGCTTGAGATTAGGCTTAGTAACGATTGAATAGCTTTATGAAGGATGGGTCTAGGCTACCTTTATGTTTATAGTTATAGGAAAAGCACCATTTCAAAACTAATGAGAAATAATCTTATATATATCATCGATATTATAGTTCAACTCCGTCACAATGCAAAGCTAAAATAATCAATGGAGGATTCTGCCGTAATACTTTTATTCGGTTAATTAGCGGGTTTTTTGTACATAACATGTTGTGATTTATGTGATTCTTGGAGTACTTAACATCCATAAATTCAGACAAACAAGTCAATGAATCAACAAGTTAATATCAAAATATTGTACTGGCAAATTTACCTTAAATAGTCTGAATCATTAAAATTCTATTGTGAATATATTGGACTAAATAAGTTATTTATCTTACTTATTGTCTTTAAGATATCAGGAAACAGGGATATTCACGAAAACTACCTACATTAGGTACATTTTTACCTAGATCAATCGGTGAGACTAAGGTGCATATCAATTTTAAGTATTTTTGTACAATTTAATCTTTGTTGTGCAATAGGACTATGATTTAATACGTTAAATTATATTATAGACGTATAATAAAAGTCTTACATGGGTTATTAGTTTATTGGAAATGTCGCTGAGACACTACCTATAATGTCATGGAATTGATCGAAATTTTGTCACAATTACGGTTCTTTATTTTAGAGACTTCTTTGTAAGCTAAAAGGTATGATGCCATTCCGTTCGTAAAAATGGTATGGTTTTTAAATTTCATTATTACTCTTAGTTGGTAAAGACTTGACTCTATGAGATTGATTTTATTAAACGTTTCTCAGATCTTTGCGTATTGTTCATTAAGTTATGTGTCACATTCTGTTTAGATCGTGTTTTGCTTAAACATACTTTTATAGCTTCCTAGCTGTCATAATGATGCTGACAGTTTACAATACAATACAGAAAATGTATCGGTGGATTCATCTAAATTTCCCAGTCAGTCTATTGGAGAATCTATTCATTCAATAAGTGGTAGTACACTTCCTTCTTTTACTGACTCTTCTACTATTTCAAAACATTCTGGTTTGGTAACATGTCAGTCGGATCGTCCACAGTATACTTGGCGAATAGATTTAATTAAAACACAACCATTTTGGCAAGGATGGTTTTCTGGTTTGTCTAAACTATTTTTATCAATACCTGAACCAAAATTACTTCTGTTAGCTGATGCTGATCGATTGGATAAAGATTTAACCATTGGACAAATGCAAGGTTTGTATTAAATTTTTTGTCTTATTATTGACGTTATTTTAGCAAAATATACCAGTGAATGTCTACGATTATTATGATTTAAATACAGTACAGACAGTATTACAGCCCACACACAAATCAAGTGACTTGTGTGGCGCATATTTATTCGGTGTCCCCTTGTACCAATATTTATGTGTTCAATTAAAAAAATACAAACAAGATATATAGATTCTTATTCTAGCTTCAAGTCATATTTAGTGCTTAAGGTTTGGAGATTAGCTCGGGCAGGTAATAAAATTAATATACTTAATAACATTAACGTTAATATCACTTTGTATCATTTCATCTTACTCGATTCGTTCATTTATTCTGTTCATGTTGATTAAATATTAGGTGTATGTTGATGAGTTAACGCATGAACCATATTGTGTAAGGAATGTTAAGATTTATGTTTTGTGTCATGAATTTCTTTTGACTGTATCTTGTATATTTCTAAAGCTAAGGATCATGAATAATATTTTTTTCTAAAAATCAACCGCACTAATTAATATCCCAGTTTTAATATTTTTTTAGTGATAAACAAGTTTATGTTCTTCTGAGTTAAGACATTTTAGTTGAAAGAAACCAGAATGAGAGATTTCTGTGTCGTCTAAAAAACGATGCTCAAACGAAAAGAGCTATTCTCTGAAGTTTATGGATAAGTTTATAACTGAAATACTTAAATAAGCATAAATCATCTCTTTTTTTTAATGAATAATGATATGGTGAACAGTGCAAATCGAAGAATAAGCACCACACTAATAACCAGCATCCTGTATGATAAATTAATCCCACTGTATAAAACGTATGTCTGAAATCAAATGTTTACATATTTTTATTAAAGTCATATCTGTTAGTTTATATGTATATGCTGCAGTATATCTTTTTCGGAAGGATATAAAGGCAAAATGCTACTTGATTTCTTGAACATATACCTAATTTTTATTAGTGGTTGAGTTATAAATAATGAATTGATAAGTACATTGATATTTACTTCATAATGTTACTGATATGTATTATTGTCATCAGTATTGATATTCAGGTTGTACGAGCCGTGTAGGTAGGTACTGACTATTACCTGATTGGTACTCAGGTGATTATCCTAGCCTATATTTGAAGATAACTGTTTCACCATATAAACCTAGCATTGTTTATTCTAGTATTTCATTCATTGTATCATTTATCAGTGTGTATTTATAACTTTTTTTTTATCTGCATTAAGGATTTTAGTTATTTTTCCTACATTTGACATATTCGATTGTGCCTGGAAATGTTTTTGAAGTCATTGAATACAAAAAAATTAGACAATTTGTGTACTCTTGATTGGTTTGTATGAAGACAGTATATTATAGAACGAGCTAAAAATAAATCCAGTCAGTTCTCAACCATTCAGAAAATTGTTTTGTAAATAGATAGTTTGTGGAGAAGAAAACAATAATATAACTAAGCGCAAACAGATTTGATATAATTTTTGAATTTATTAACATCTAACACAGGTACGTTACTCTTTCTGTAAATCGAAAGAAAACTAATACATAAAAGCTCGTTCATACGAATGTAGATTATACTTGTTCTCGAACACTTATAGAGATCCAAACAGATTGTTAAGAGTCTACACATCGTCCCTGGTTAGGATTAAGTATTTAGGGTTAGGTTTTTCAACACAAACTGACATCAGGCATAACACGAAAGTGTTCTATAGTTATATGGGTGAATGAATTTCATGCAAAAATATAAGAGAAGGTACTGTCTGACTAGTTTGTCCATGAAATGTAGTGTCACCAGTTCAAGACTTATTTCTGTATTGGATGTTTAAGGTTAGAATTTAGAGACAGTGTCGATTTGTGTGTTGCATACAATTTACAGAGAAAGAACTGAATTTTTAATTCACTCAACGCCATCATTTTTACCCTGTGGTGACAAAAACCTATTTTTGGCTATCACTTTAAATATTTTGAGGAGTCTAGAAATGTATTTCTAATACTCGTTATACGTGATATTTGATCTGTACTCTAAGTCAAATTCTCAATTCTGTTTGGTTCATCTCTTAAGTATACTTTATACAATTTATATTCATACAATGTAGTTTTTTTAGGTAAATTTCAGGTTCAACTGTTCCCTCGTGCTGGTCATGCCGTTCAAGAGGATACTCCAGATAGAGTAAGTTATGGTTTCTTTCTGTCTTCCTCATTAGGTGCTTGTTGATGTATTGGAAAGTATATTACAGTTGTTGTGTAGCTTTTTCATTGTTTTCCTATTTTTGTGTTGACATAATGATGTATGTTGTCTAGTGACCGGTGACATTTGTGTTGTGACATTAGGTGTCTGTATATCTAGTAGTCAATACATCTGATTTTCTATTTCATGGTCACAAATTCTACCTACACTGCGGTTGCACGGGTTTAGCCAACCATAAAGTATTATCGACTGTAACACAACTCTAGGTACAGTGATCCGTATTATGTAGATTTTCTGTAAAAAATTAATTTTTAAAATCGAAAGTGAAGTGAACTGTTTATCTGGATTATCACACCTCACCCCAAACAAGTCGATTTATTAGCTTACCTCAGTTTTCAACTACAAATCCACTGTCGTTCACTTTTTGTCTCGTATAGCCAAATATATTATGTCATTTTGACAGATGCTTTCCAAATCTATGAATGTTATATCAGTGTCGCTCTTGTATTCTATTCTAATTTCTTATCATTTAGTTAATGATTATATTTATGCACTTATATGTGTATCGTTTTGTTTATTTGTGTTGTTTTTTGTATCCCTTTCCTTAGATAAAAGTATGTATCTGAAAATGTTTAAATATAGGAGTAAGGTTGTTTTTTTCGAAAAAAATGTACGTACACTTAAAACAACAAAAAGTATGCAACTTAACATCCTAGTGAGCATTGTTCATGTCAGATGTTGAAATGCCTTTATAGAAAAAGTAACTAGATTCGTTTTTCGTCTTGGTTTGACACTGAAATGAAATACGCAACCATAGTCCAATCATTCGTATTTGTGTTGAACATCTTATCCTTGGAACAAATAAGTCGGAATACTATAGTCATAGTTCTTAGAATTCTATATTTAAGTTAGATGGTTTTATCACTGAGTAGTGGCCAACATTGTGTTTGTATAGTCCTTTAGCACTGATCGAATTCCATTGATCAAGTTAAAATATGACCAACAATCTAAGGGACTCCATATGATATGTACTATGATTTGATGTTTGTTAGTTGGAAGTGGTGAACAAGAAATTCTGGAGATAGGTTTCGTGCTAGCTGGCATTAGTTAACAAAACGTCCCTATAATAATAAAGGAACTGGCACTCCCTGTTGTACTAAAACGTTACTAATAAGCTGTCTGGGTCGTGACTGATATATTTACTTTGTTTTATCACTGACTCGTGGTCAATGGTGTTAATGTCTAACTTCAACCAATCCACGATCTTGCGCAGTCCAGTGCTTCCAGGTTTTCAATGGTGATCTAACATTGATCGCTTCGTGATCTCAATGCAGCCAATTGTTTATTTTTTGTCTCGTCTGAGTCGTTATGTTTCACTTTTTAATAAAATACAGTCGGAGATATATTCCAATAATTTAGACTTAACCATCGCATTGTTCTATCGAATTTTTCATATATATATACCATATTGAAATGCTTTAGTTTCGTATATCTTTGTATTTCGTTGACAGTATAATTAGTTGTTTTACATCTTGTCTAATCGACTAAAAGAATTAGTTCAGCATAATTTATAGTTTTTTTAATAAAATGATTTTTGTTTTATTTAGGTTGCGGAATGCCTGGCTAGATTTCTAGTACGCAACCGATTCACTGAAGCTCGTTCAGATTTGTGAACAATTAATGTAGGTATTTTAGTAATGATAATAAAAATACTGTTATTCAAATTGTAAATTTATCTGTCCGTTTTTTTATCTCCTATAATAATTATCAAATGATCAAATGATACTATGTTAACAGATTTCTTAGAGATTTAAAAAAATATATAGTTCTACATTGACTGAACACTTAGTAGTAGTAGTGTAATTCTTTGATATTGATCTGGTTTTTCGACTAAGATACGTGAGTATGGTTTGTTGAAGAGTGACATTTAACAAGAAACCTAGCTTCAGAACATTTTACCGATCCACTAACTAACTAGAATTTTTCAGCAGCTAAGAATCGGTATTCATGTTAAAAATTCATTTATTCTTTATCTTTCTCTGAAACTTATTTTTATTCTGTTTCTTTGAAAAAATATTTTTATATCCAATTTTCTGCTATTTTTGGTTTTATCATTTTGTCTACTTTGTTTTCTAACATTTTATCTTCCTCCTGCTGTAATATGGCAACGTGAACTGATACACGTTTGTGCTGCTTTTTATATTGCTTGATTGATCTTTCATTGTACGTTTTATTCTGAATACGTTGTTTTCCTGCTGTATGTAAATAGTTTAACTTGTTCCTAGAAATTATTATTAATAAGGTTGGAACTATTTTGTTGATATACGTCAATTTTGTTGACCAAATAGTTCAAACCATATAAGTTATGATGAGAACGCTTTCACTATTTGGTGAGCGAGTCTTTCCGACCGTTAATATGAAGAAAAACATGTGTCCATAAATAAACTCAATGATACGATGTGATAGTGTTGGTTGCTCACGAGAACGAATTTTTAACATAAGTCCCCGATTGGATTGAAATCAAATATAAAACACTAGCAAAAAGAATAGGTTTATTTGTAGGTGGTAAAATGACATACAAAACATTAACACGAAATCAATATGATAAAATGACCTGGGAAAAAATTAGTTTTGAAGTCCCTAAATTTCTAATCAATTAAGACCTCTTCTTTGTACTCGTCATATCAAGAAATAATTCAAATTGTCTCTGAATTAATTTCGATTTTTTAATCTATTTAAGAAATATGTGTGTGATTATATACATAAATATTAGAGATGTCGACCTCTTTCTTCTCTTAGCTACGTCATATCCTTTTTGTTTTCTAGTATATATTTTTCATTTTCCCTATATTTTTTGTTATTAATGTTCATCAGTCGATATTGCATAATGTATGGACGATAAGTATTGAATCATATTCTTCATTCTTTTTTTAAATGGAAAAGAATATAGCTTAAAGACTTGACGGTAAAATCGTAATATACTAATTGGTTTAAGCAATCAGAATAAGGATAACGGCTCATGTATTTTGAGGGAAATGTACAGTGCAGCGATGAATAACTTATATCTTATTATTAACTAAGTGAAGTTTGACAGTATTTGATTTTTAAAATGCTTGAAATCTATAAAAATATCTATTATGCAACTAGAAAGGGTGGTGCTCGAACTAAACTACATAACATACCCGGTACTAAGGCAGATTGTATGGTAAAGTACTTGATTTCGTTCATTGCGTAACCAAGAGTGTTGAATAAAGCTAGATAATATTCTCCTTTTTTTTACTCTTACTCCGAATCCCAACCCAAAGTTTCTTAAGTTTGTAAATAGAAAGATGGCAAAGCATTGTATTATAGCTGATGTCAGTTCGTGTTGAAAACCCCAACCCTTATTTTTAAGCCTGACTCAAAACTTCAGTTTGACTTTTAGTACCTATCCCTAACCCTTTTGCGTCATAACTGGTGTCAGTTGGTGACGAAAACTCCATAAGGTAACAACACTAGCACAACTCCCGATATGCATGTAGATTTGCAAGCATGACTTTTTCTTTACTACATGGGATAATTTGACATATGAGAGTTAATTATTCCATCAAAGCAGTTATTCTGTGGTGCACGAAGACTTGGTGGGGATAACTGATTTATCGTTTTATGCAAAATTACACAGTTTTAGTAAAATATGAAAACTATGCATTATTTTCACATCTTCCTACAGTTATCTTTTACATGCTTCATGATTCTTTCAATTCTGTTCTTATGACAATTATTCTGTTTCCCTTTCTGTTCTCTTCAATTCACTTTTCTGCTACCAGGCATTCCACATCCGATTGCCGCTATATACTACATATATCTGTCAGCGTAATTAGTATACACCCTAATCCCACTGTTATTTCATTGCTTTGTATCGTTACGTCTTTTATAACTAGGCAGCGTTCTCTGAGTGGCTGACAAGTCACCCAGTATCGTCAATGTTATACTTTAACCGATTTAACAATAAGAACATATCTGTTTTTTTTACTGTATCCTTTTTTGTATTCATACATGATTATGTTTGGCTTATTTGACTTCTTTCCTCTTATTAGATACGTAGCTTGTTTTTGTTTGATACTGTTTATGTGATGACGGTTTGTCTGTTTCTCCGTCTCGTTCTTCCTATTTTTGTTCGTTTAAAGTAAGGGGTATTTCTATATGTAGATGGGTTTATTTTTTCTTCATGTTTATTATTATCATTATTAAACTTAGTTATCATTTTTCTACGTATTCTAGTGACTGTCGACCACATATCAAAATCGTTTTGAATATTGTTCGATGTTATTCACATAATTCGGAAGTTTCCTTGTTTCCAACGCTAGTATGTTTATTAACTCTCTCTTTCTCTCTCTCTCTCTCTCTCTCTCTCTATATATATATATATATATATATATATATATATATATATATATATATATATATATATATATAAACATGATTGTTTCTTGTTGACAAGATTTTTTTATTACTAGGTCTAAGTATGATAGAAAAGTCATATTTAACTTATTTGTTTGTAGTAGTACTAGTAATATGAATGCTGAAATTCAAAACACTGAATTATAGGTTTGCCATGACAAAAGATAGTGTTATGTCTTCATGTTATTCAATTGGGATATAGTGAGTATATATCTACGAAGACTTGTAATCATACTGTTGTGAACAAAGGAGTCTAGTGGGGAAAACCAATTTATTGTTTAATGCAAATTACAGTGTCTTTGTAAAATATGAAAACCATGTATTAAATACATTATTTGCACATCTTGCATCACTTGTATCCTACAAATTTCATCATTCCTTAATTCCTGTTTTCATTACAATTTTTCTGTATTTACATTCCTGTTGACTTCAATTCGATCTTTTCATTCTTCTGCTATCAGGCATTCCACTTCTGATTGGTGTTGCATATTACTTATACCTGTCAACATAAGTGGCATGCACTACAATACCATTAATTAATATTGCAGGCTTTTATAAGCCTACACTAGAACTTGTATAGAAAACAAGGCATTCATCAGTAATAATGCGAAGGACCTTAGTTCTAGTAATAAGTATTAGATTATAACTGGCATTCTTGGCAATATTTTTATTTACTTTTATATAAATTCAATTTGCTTAGTAGTTTCAGTTCCTTTTTAATCATTTCTTTTGTTCATTGTTTATAACCTTACTCTGGATTAAATTCACCTTTTTAAATTGTGAATCAGTATTGGTACTTGCATTGGCTAACTGTCCTGTTCAGCACGAACAGTCTGGTAGTATCATTAGTCTATATACAAAAAACTTAAGCTCAACGACGAATGCATGAAATTATACTTTTTTATTGACTTCTTTGATAGTCATTTGGAAAAGCGACAAATAAAAGTTAACTTTATGCTAGATAGTATATATCGTTAATGTGTATTGACCTCCAAAGACCAACAGGAATCATAATGTAGAGTAGGATTCAGTTGAATCAGGTTTTTCGATTTGTATTGTCTAATGTAAAGAGGTTTCTCATTGATGAATATATGCTTTCACAATATAAGGAAGTTTTGATGTTATTTTTTATATTCAAACTGTCTTTTAGTATAGATGCATATTTGGTATACTAATGCTACAAAAATAATCGTTTAAATATATACGTCGAATGTATTTTGCGCTAAATTTAGGGGAAAAACTAAATCCAATAAAATAGTTCACTATGAAAATAACATTACTGATGACAAAGAAATTTTTGTATGCCGATAAACGATAAATTACTTGCGAATTCCAAGGAAGTGTAATCGATGCATCTACCATTTCTTTATATTATATGTTGCCGCTTTCGTGTAATTCTAACATCTTCCGCTTCATCCTATTCAATACTGGACTGAATAAGGCTGAGCTTTGGTATATTTTAGTGTTTGAACTACTGTTTTTTTATTCAGTTTGTTCTGTGCTATGTTGCATTAGTTACTTTTAGCATAAATTCGTATTCATCAATTTCATAGCTGGTAAACTTTCATCGATTTTTTGTCACTGAATTTATTAGATCTCCTATCTGTTAGTATGTAAATTACTTCTCTAAACCAAAATGTCTTGACCCCACTTCAGGGACTGTATATATGCACTTAAAAAAGAGAATTTTCAATGAAAATTAATAATAAATTTCATGGTTTTTCTTTATTGCTCGTTGTCAGGTGAATATAACTGAGTTAAAAGTAAAAAAATAGTTCCATAAATGTATATTAATGTTACGTTGAGGAGATTGTGTCATGTATGGCGCTGTGCTATGTTGTAACAAATGTGGTAGTGTGAACCTGCCGACGTTTTTTTATTCGACGTACTACATTTTCCTCGTTTGCTTATCATACATACATGTGAAAGTAACATGTATGTGTGCTGTCTGATTAAATTAACATAAGTTGTTCATGACTTCATTATATATATATATATATATATATATATATATATATATATATATATATATATATATATATATATATTGACTTGCTGTTTGCATGTGTCCGAAATTAGTTTACATGCTGATTGCCCATGCTAATTATTTAAATATGATTTCTAAGCGTTAAATTAGTGTTTGTTATTAACAATCGAGTGTCTTTTTATCGCCGTCTGTCAATGTTCTAGTATTTTGTATAACCATTCACACCAGAACGCTATTTAGAAAAACGCAATAGTTGTGATTTCCATTTCGATCGTTATTTTTTTAAAACCGTCTCTCGTTTTCTCTTATGTATTTGTGTGTTTGTTTGTCTGGTTATGTACATAGGAATGCTGTGGTAGCCTTATAGTACAAACCTATTTACTACTGATTAATTTTTTTCACTCAGTAGTCAGTTATATCTTTTTTTATTAGAAGAATTTTACAGAAAGTTTCCGTCTATTGTAGTATTGTTCATTATTATATATATGGTGGCAGCAGTATTTGGTTTCACTTCATTAAAATGTCACCTACACGCATAGAGCTTCATTTTTCTATGAATCGTAATTGTATGTATGGAATAACATATGCTTTAACTGTAAACTTGGTCTGTAGATCCACTTCACTCCGTGTTCATCATTACAGTAGAGAAACAAATAATACTTGTTCATCATAATTATGAATTTGGTGTTGGATTGTGGTGAACGTAAACTTGGTGGGGATAACCAATTTATTGTTTAATGCAAATTACAGTGTCTTTGTAAAATATGAAAACCATGTATTAAATACATTATTTGCACATCTTGCATCACTTGTATCCTGCAAATTTCATCATTCCTTAATTCCTGTTTTCATTACAATTTTTCTGTATTTACATTCCTGTTGACTTCAATTCGATCTTTTCATTCTTCTGCTATCAGGCATTCCACTTCTGATTGGTGTTGCATACTACTGATATCTTTTAACATAAGTAGCATGCACCACAGGTTACGATCGAATTCTCTCGTCATAATGTGGTATCTGTTAGCAAACATTGTAATTATTTAACCTATACTATACTATCATCTTGTGAAATTAGTAATTATGAACAGTGTAGGGAAATATCCGCTTTCATATTAGGATGTCGCTATTAATGGTCCATACTGATATTTGAAAATTTTAGTTGATATAAAAGTGACCGTGATTAGTTGGATTCATGTTCAGCTTCCTAAAAATTTTCAATTTAACTAAATCCTTTTGGAGTGTTGTAGTTATCAGTATTTGTAAAGTAGACTTATTTGAGTTATACATGTACATGTTTGATGATGTTTTCTCATTTTTTTATATACTGTGTATTATCTTGCTATCTTGGATTAAATGCTCGATTTCTTTACTTCGAGTAGAACAGAATACTGCATCCTGTATGTCATTATTTACAATGATATACACAGAAGCTTTTGGTAATCATCCGTTGTACACAACTACATGTAATTAGTTATCATTAATTAAAAGTTTGTCACGTTACAAGTAACTCGTGGTTATACTATTTTGGTTAAATAGTTTATTTATAAATTATAACCCTAATTTATTGTTTGTTGTGTTCAAAACCTCGCTCGGCCAGTGGTTCTGTTTTTAATAATGTATTTATTTGCTTGGGATTTGGGGTCTGTCCTGTGAGCTTAGTAGTAGTCAATTTAACTAATTCAGTGGTTTGTTTTTTCTCTCTATCGAATTATAAACCAGGATGTATTGATGAGGCGTTTCGTCCTGGTATGAGATTTCTTAATACTGTGCATCCATGACTTATTTAGGAATCAATCCCTTGTTGTTATACATTTTAAAATTTTCCTTGTTTCTAATCTGAATAATGCCTAATGATTTTTTTCTTTAAATTTTTTAGTATCATATCAAGATTATTGCGGAATTCCACTATTCAGTTTTCATATATCGTCGAATACACTTTTTTCATGACTGGACGGTCGCTAATTAGACTTAGTTTGTGTATTTGTGTATGTGTATACATAAAGCTTTAATCATAGTATTTGTATAATTTCTTTTATAGAATCCTATAATACCTTCTCTCTCTCTCCCTCTTCGTAGTGTGACTATTCAAATTCAGTTTGTTTATTTTCGGAAATTACTCAAACTGACACTGCAAAATTTCATGCCAAAATTAATTGATTAAACAAGAAAATAGATAATTAGTGCTCATTTGTCTTTTTTTCTTGTTTACTTCTTCCCATTATTAGTATCTGTTTGTGTATATCTACTTATGTATGGCATATATATAAACTTTAATAATGTTTTAATGTATGTGCACGGGTTTCATTGTACTTCTGCTACCAAATTTTTTTAAACTTCAAAAATGCAATTGATTATTTTTATTTGTTTATTGATAACTTCTGTTTTCTCATTTTTCATTTGACATGATGATTCTTGTAGATTTTCGAAAAGTGTCATTATGACTAACTCTTCGTTCATTCATGTATAGGTGTGTAGCTTCTTCTTTCCTGTTTTTTTTTTTGAAAAAATGAAACACTCAACTTCATTTTATTTCTTTCTTGTTTCGGTTTTGTCTTCTCTAGTAATTGACCATTTTGAAGTAACAACATCAGTGTCATCGTAGATTCGTATTGAATGTTTTGGTTTTTTCGTTTGTTGAGCGAAGAAACTATCTTCAGAAATGTGTACTCTAAGCTGAGGATAATTTTGAATTGCATATAATTAGTTATTGTTGTTATCATATTTCCTGTACAAAATTATCTTTTTTCGGAGTTTTCCTTGATTTTCGTAAATTAGAGATCTTCAAAGGGAAAAGTGTTCATCAGTTTATCATTAACTGTTTTATTTATTCACTTACTATACTTGAAGTTGTTTTTTAAATCTTGGTTATTGTTGTCTTGTAGTTCTCTTTTAACAGAGTTGTTTGTGTTATTTTAAATGCTGGTGCTAATAACTTATATTGTCAAGTCTATTATTTGTTTCTGTGTGGTAATCAATCACATTAACTTTTTCTTTTCGGCTTTTCTCTCTCGTATATTTTATGTTCTTACGTGTATGTGGTTGTTGATACGATTCAGTGCGCTTATCTACTTTTTCTATTCGATGTTTTTACCATTGTTATTCTTTCTGTCTCCCTTCTGCTCTTATCTTTTCGATTCATGTATTTTTACAAAGAATATTTCTCACTGACAATCAAGATGAAGTGTTAATAAAACTATAAATGCTAGTGATTAGCATCTTGTATTATTAAAATCCGTGTTTTTTTCTTTCTCGTGTTGGTGATTAACAAATAAAATTATGCGATTGTTAGTTCATTTCTGATAATCAATAATTTCATAATGTGTTTGGTTGCTACTGCTTTTATTTTTTTCATTCGATTGTTAAATGCGAGTTAATGTTATGCTTTACGATCACCTACTCTAATTCCTGATTATTAACGATTAAGATATTTTCCTAATATAATACACTGAATTTATGTAAACTTGATAGATTAGATAATTAACATGCATAACTCTTCAACAATAATCCTCAATGCAATAGAAAACAGAGGGAAGTTAGGCAGACAAAAAAGAAGCTTGTTGTTCAAGAAATTAAGTTTCTAATGGAATTAGTCAGCATATCGAATAATTTGCAATGATTTTGGAGCGTAGTAAAATTAACAGGCTAAACACAAGAACTGTTAGGGAGACCCAGAAAATTCCTCGAAAATAGCCCAAACGTGTCCTGAAAACGCTGGGAAACATTTTATTCAATCAGCATTTATTAGAAGCTTCTCAAAAACATCTAGAAAATTAAGAGTCACGTGTTACATTTCTGATTAGATTATTATTTACCCTGCTACTATGTTTAGTAGGGTTCTAGAACTTTCCAGAAGCCCAAGACAGTCTGATATGTTATAAATACACTCGATTTTCTGTACATAAGCTAACATTGGAGTAAAGCGTTCTTCCCGTATTACGCGCCTTTTCTCCCGTGTTCAAGTTGTAGTGTGGAGTTAGCCTGGAGTTATTAGAAGAGCTTGGAAAACCGATTCAAACGTTCTGTCAGAAGATTTATCAAGAACAACCTATCAAATAACAACAAAGGTCTTCGCGAAAATATCGAATGGAAAAATGTCATCATAATTGCCTTTATCTGTAGGAGCTATAGTTTATCAATGAAAAATTAGGTAATTTAAAGTCTTCATAGCAGCTGACGTATACATGTCAATACATAGTTTTGTACTGAACAATTCCTTTTATGTAAAAAATCAAATTAAATTGATTGGGTACTACAAATTATTTGATAGGATCTAAGCAAACAAACCTAGTTTCATTCACATACAATAAATCAACTAAGGACTGTGGTAGACTGTCGTACAATTAATTTTTAAGAAATTTAGAGTGTGGCGATTTTATCTCTTTCTCAATTATTTCCTTTTGTAATAATACACTTATCTCATTTAAATTCCCATTGTTCGAAAAATCTCTGTTACTCCTCGGAAGTTACACTTTTTGGGGATCTCATTATTCCTGAACTTTAAATATTCTATTAGTACAGCCTGGATAGACTTTTCCAAGATTTATTTCATCAGTAATGATCCGAAACGCATGGAAGACAGCATTCCATTCGTGTTTTGCAAACAAAGAATGTCGATAGTTGTCTTGGTATTGCATGATTCTCGTAGTTGTCATAGCCCTCACCGAACTGCGTTATCCACTTGGCGGGCACAATATTGTCTTCATGGACAGTCCTAAATATTCATGAATTCTAAGTTTTCCTCCGCGTAGTTTTAAGACGGGTCACAATTGTCTTTTTCTGTATGTAGGCAACGTTGGGGCGTTAGAATATTTAATCTAACATAGTAGAGCATGTGTATCAGTATTTACAGTTTCCAACATGTATCTGAACGGGAACCTAATTTTTTCAGGTTGGATAGCTGTGCACTGAAGGCATTTCACAAAGCGATTATCATGATAAGTTGACCATAAGTTATACATAAGGCGTCAGGCCCATACTGAATTCGTCAACTTTCCTATGGAGGAGATTTTCTCACCATTAAAACGTGATATTTCAAATGTTTTGATCGGACTAATAAAACAGACTTGTGAGAAACTATGCTTAAACTGATTACTGTATGTCCGATACTTTCCAACTGTGTTACAAACAAACTATACTTCATTTATCTCCATCAACTATTCTAAGAAAATTAGTTATGAGATATGAAGGACAGTTAAAAAAATTGAGTTTACGTCTTGAAAATCTTTATCCATGTTGATCGTAATGTGAAAATATCACGAAAGTATAAAATCATTATTATGATTTACAATAATAATGGAAAAAGCAAGCTGTTGGAAAAATTCAGTTCTCGTTCAGTCTGTTGAGTTGCTTAACTGTTATAATAAAAGTCTGATCAATTTGTGAAAGCTAATAGAAGAGGTTTTATTTAGTTTTTCTATTTTTCATTAGAATTGGGTTATAATACGATGTTGGTTTATGCGGATCTTTGCAAAAATGCTAACCATGACATGCAACTTTGTAATGACTTTACATTTATAATTTCCCACATTAATGAATAATTAGAAAAATGACATTAAGGCAAAGAATAACATATATGGAGTTAAATGGATCGATTTCATGTAATATCGTGAAAGTTGACTCAGAAAACATAGATATGGATAAAGCCAGTAGTACCATACTCTTATATTCATCACAATAAAGCTGTATTAACACAAGCTAAACTATCAACTTCAGTTCTTGGTGCACTCGAAAAGTTTTATTTATTTTGATCCAAGAACTTCAGTATTACTTTCTAATTATGAATATAGATTGGGTTTTTCATGATTTTTTAAAATGTTATCTATGGTGTTTAGAATCTTTTTTATATGATGAATTTAGTTTAGGTAGATAGGTATCTAGATCAACATCATAAGCTGAGGTATTTTGTACATAACATGCCATTGTTTCTTTTGACAATTATTGACTGAAATCAAAGCAAAGTAGTGTGATCCACAAAATGTATACACCACACTATGCCATTGGTCTATCAAGTTGATAAGTATTGACTTGAATAGTGCTAATTATTTGGTAGTTGACTTTATAAAAAAAGATGATGAAATACTAAAGAACAGAGCTGGTGTATATAAAGTTGACATTAATATTATTTCGATCGCTTAATGTCTTATTCAGGCTCTGGATTTTATCATTGCTCGTATATGGTTATATCACAATAAATAATATGAAATTACGGAGCACTGCTGGTGAGATTATGAATTCGCTCTGTTTTCATGACTTTCATTACGTCTACTCACTACACTGGCCGTTAGAAATCGTAGAAAATATAGATTGGTTCATTCGGTGTACAAAATCCTTAGATTCGTTGATGTAACTGAGTTATTCATAGAGTAATGCGTTTGTAAATATTCACATTTTATACTTTTCATATTTTCACTATGCAACTTAATAGACCCAAATAGCTTTGTTCATATTTTTTGCTACTATTTATTTTATTGTCCTATTATATAATGACTTATTCAATCCAACACCTAATTGTTCTGTTAACAGTCTCTTTACATACTAAAGATGTGTGTTATTCGTAATCTTTTTCTCATACAATACAGTACACTGATGTTATAATAAACTTATTTTTCCCTGTTCAATTGTTATATATTTTGCTTCGAGCAATTTCACTATTTTAAGGAAATGAAGTCTTTCCTCATTTAGAAGTTATTCATTATGACCTTGAATACTTTATTTCTTTTAGGTATTACTGTTATTTTACAAAATGAAAAATTTGTTAACTACGCGATTGACTATTCTTCCAATTTCCTTAACAGCCAGACATGGTGTTTCTCTACATACACAGTCAAATGCATTATATACTACTAGATCTCGTCGTTTATTTAGTCGTTTAATGAATGTACGATATGTGGAAGAACTGGAAGCTAAACTGCCAGGTCCTATATATTTATTAGTAAAATGGTGGTTTAAAATAAGACCTTTTAAAGTAGAACTAGCAGATCTTCATCGTCGTATTCTACGTAATAAAGAAGGATTTGATGTACGTCCACTTATTTTTGTAATAAATTTCAATGTTAAGAGATGTTACATAATTATTTAAAAGTAGTATAATAATAGTTTTACTGCAAAATGCTCATTTTTATTGGGAATTTCATTATCAGAGTTTATTTTGAACAAAACCCAATGTTATCATTATTTATAGTTGTTTTTTGTTGAACGATGGTGATGATGATGACAGTTTTGTCATTAATTCGTATGCAGTAATTTATGAATATATGTATTTTGTTTATCCTATGGAAAGTAGACGCAACCTGAATGTTATGTATACAATTTATACCCTTTTATCAATCCTATGCAACTGACAAGACGTATTGGGATAAAAATGAAATAGATTGACATCACGAATGGGTCAATGGTAGACCACTATTGAAAACCTGGAAGCACTGGACAGCCGTTTTGTTCTAGTATGGAAATAGTGAGCATTTCGCATCCACAATCCTGCAAATGAGACTCGAACCCAGGACATTCATGATATCAGTCTATACTCAACAATCTACACAACCCTATACTAATAAAAATGAAATAACTTTTATTTCCTACAAATACTGTTTTATTAAGAGAACTAATACTTGTTTAGTTTATTTCCATCTTCATAATATGTTGTTACACTCATTAATAGCTTTGCTTGATGTCAAAATTTTCACTTTAATCAACGTAATTGTATATATATTTATACTCGTGCCTCGACCAGTTTTATCCTTCTTTCGGGAGCTGGGCATATTTCCAACTTTTTAAATAGAATGTCACAGTAAAATAAACGTTTGAAGCTATTTTTACGTTTGAATATGTAGTTGAGTACTAAGAATGCTTGTATTTATCCCGTTATTATTTGATATTTTGTTTTATCGACGTATTCGGATCACAAAGATGTTGGGGGGGGAGGTAATCAGGAACTTTATTTTCCAGTGTCGATTTTTAAAATAGTTTGTATTTTTATTTCTATTTCATTTAAACAATATGATAGGATAATTAGATTCAGTTATCTAGATCGGGCTAAATAAATATAATATAGATTACTATAACTTAGTGATCAAACAGTGGGTAGGTATTGTTTATTTGTTATTTCATTGTCGGAGAAAATATGTTGTTCAGGTGTAGTTTTATTCTCTGAGCTGGGTGATTTGGTCGTGGAGCTTTCTACCTGAAGTTTGTGCTGATGTTGTCCAGAAGAACGATGAAAGCTCCATGATCGAACCATTTAGCTCAGACAACAAAACTCCAACTAAATTATTTCAGTGCATCATAGGATTGTTGCTTTTTATTATTGTGTTTACCAACATCAACTACTGAATCAT